TAAATTTCTGATGTTGTGCCCTGATCCAGGTTTCTGTATCCGTATATGTACATATGAGGAAGTCCCTAACAGAAAGGATCTTTTTACATTGCATTTGACAGGTGTATGCTATATATTTCTACGTACGTATTAAAACAAATGAGAGATTTTTGCTAACACTACACAATTTAAAGAAAAAACATGAACCATTTTTTGTGAAAATATTTATTCGAAAGTAAATAAGTTTTGTGTACAAGGCAGAACATTTGTAAGTCAAAAAAGACAACATTTTTTAATGAATTCTTCAGAGTTTGATTGAGTTTATTAATATTATTCACAATTTTTTGACAGAATTTAAATATGTGTAGAAACTGAATACAGTTTTACATATCTAAAATATTAGTAAAAGTAATGTTAAAGAAAACATCTTACATCTAAATCTTACTGCAACATATGTGCTGAGGTTCATATTTACCATTCCATAGCTATTGAACACCATAGGTCTTTGAGCTCTACTTGTAACAAGCGGTAAACATTTTTTAAAAGAAATTGTGTCTATTTCGTACCATTGAGAGTCATATAAAATACGATCTAGTCTGAGAGCCTGAAAAAAATTATCAAGAATACTCTGAACAAATTGATATAGAATGTTTAAGTGTTGAACATAACACATATTAGTCTTCATCTTCATGAAACGGGAACCAACAAAGGTAGGCGTTCTTTTGATCAAACAAAATCAAAAAGATAGCCTTGATTTTTTTGCTTCCATGTGGTTTGAAATTTAGAATAAACGTTTTAATTTAGTATTTACTTACAGTGTTTGTGGTAATTTCGGCAGGAACACAGTAAAAACCTATTTCAAGTATAACACACGAAAAATAAATTCCACATTTAATTCTGTTAGCCCAGGCGCCTCTGTAAAAAGAACGGATTAAACTATAACTAAGAACCTTTAGTTACACAAAAATAAACTTACGGTTGCATAAAAATAAAAACTGCTACAGAAGCCGACGATACAGAAATTATAAAGATAAGTAGAAATATATTTCTGAAAGCCGCATTTAATTTTTCGGAATAGCTGAAAAGAGATGTGGTTTCTCAAACATATTTCAGACTAGAAGGTTTGTTCCAGAGTTTTGCATGGTAACAATTTTTAATAAAATCTATAAAAAAGTTGAAAAATGTGCAAAACTCCTAGAACAATTCATAATTTCCAGCTAACTTTGAAATCAATTTGTGAATTGAGTTTATGATTTTTGCAAACCTTATCAAAAAATTGTGGTGATCAACCAGGGCTTCTAGTTCCTTCCAGATGTTTTCAAAACTGTTACTGCACATATCTTTAAATTTATATGCCAACAAATCGAACTGTTCCACTAAGGAAATTACTAGGGTACAAAAAAGAAACGGTGATCCTACCACAGAAATATAAGCAATTAATGATAAGTACCACAATGTAACAGTTAAATAACTAAACCATCCGTCTGGTACATAGCAAACTGTAGGTAAAGATCCTGTTATAAAAGGTTGTAGATTAAATAAAATTCCCGTAATAATTGCTACAGTGTTGCAGGATCGTAAGGACTTTTTCATGAAATATGTTTTTTTTAAAGTTTCGACACCTAATAATTTATTATTAAATTTAGTAATTTTCCAAAACTTAGACTTTTGTTTGAGCAGGTCTAGTAAATCTTGCCTAGTAGCATGCAAGTTTAACGCATTTCCAATTATCTAAAATTTAATGTTTAGTTCTAAAATAGTTTATGTATGTACCTACTTACATGAACCATTAAGAAACAAGTTTGTATATTTTCTGTAATAAAAAATATGTCGTTTTTGTCGGAAACTAATATTCCTTTGATTGCTAATGCTACGTACAAAAAGCATAATGCAATATTTGTGAGTGTGTATAGGAAAGACCACTTCGAGTTAAAAATTGGGTGCAGAACAATATACCATAATATTTTCACCGGATCTACAAATGTGTCGCCAAAGTTAAAAAGTCTAAAAAAGACAAATTAATTGAATAAACCCTACGTAACTAGAAAATACTTACAACTGAAGTTCACGAGCCATTGAATTACTTTATTCCGTAAGTGTTTGTTACGTAAATTTCAAAACATTAAACACCTTAAAAGTAAAGACGAACTTATTATGTTGTAACTAACACTATTATTGAAATCGTCCCTTTTATACTTCAAGTAATACAAACACAAACAACCAATCGAAAGCTCACAAGTCCGAAAACATGCGCAACTAATTCAACTTTTGCACATAATTATCGCAAGTTCATAAATTTTAAAACAACGGCAGAGTTATAACAACACATTTTTAAATTTTAAATAAAATCAATTTATTTTCAATTATTTAAAACAAACAATGCCACATATACGAACCACATATAACGAAGGTTGATTAGCTATTGACCGAGCTTAACAAAGAAATTTTTATAGAAATACTTCGTGTGTCTTTATCTTATATATTATTCATAAGAGCTTGCTGGCTGTACTTTAGGAATTAGAAACATTTTATTATATACAACAATATCGGATATTAGTCTTGTAATTATTGTAAGATGCAATTTATCCGTAATGTTCGGGTTCTGATGTAAGGGCAGTAACGAACAAACATCGATACCTGGATAAAATGAAGAATAATTTTGTTAAAGATCGCAACAGATGAGGGAATGTGTAGGTAGTTAATCGCTCCCGTGAAAACAAGAGGACTCTCTCAAAAAATTAATTAAGTGCTTAAATTTGTTGAAACTCACCACAGAATGATTTTTACCAAAATTACGGTGCAGCATATTAATTAAAGTTTTATTTACGTTAAATATAAAGTGCATTTACCCATAAAGTTGTAAAACTAATTAAAGCGCTTAAATTAACCTAGCAAGCATTCTCCTCTCAACTTAAGGCTGTTGCTACACCATCGGCGCCCGGTCGGCTACTACTTTATTTTAGATTAATTCTCAGTGTGTTTAGCAGCTTTGAAACAAAAACATAAATTAGCCGAAATATTTGTCTAAAATTTAATCGAAATTAAAAAAAAAATTATAATCGATGAGAGAACATGTAATAATTACCTAATCCCCTCCGGGAAAAACAAGCGTATGAATTAAAGAACTCCTTAAAAAAATATTTTTCGCTGAAATCAAAACATCCCCCCTGGAGCGTATATCAGCATAATTTAATAGTGGATTAATGTAAACGTTTATTTTACCAGATTGTGTTGCTTGAGTTGTGTTATTGCTTATTTTATATGTATATTAAAGCTTAGTGAAGCGAATATAATAAAATCTGAACAGAAATTTTGATGAGATTTTATAACAAAAGTGATGTTTTATATATTTTCAACTACATACTGGGATATCTTTATGGTCTTAGTTATTAGATTATATAATTAACAGGAATTAAACCTGGAGATGCTTATTTTTTCTATAATTTGAGTGTACGTGATATTATTTTGTGTTTTTTAACGACTACAGTAACATTTGTTCATAATATGTATATTGTTGCGTTGATCGGTGAATAAAAATCGGCGTGGGTTAAACTGATCAATTTATTTCTTAATAATTCGAATTTACACGACTTAATACAGAGCGATTATGTACAAAATAATTCCGGCCAATTTCACTGGGTTTTCGCGACACTCGTTGGACTCGACTTGTTAACTGAATTCAGCTCTCGTTGTCTTAGCTGCTCTCCGGAGGTCTCCGTCACCGCTTCTAGGCTTATTCTCGAACACCCGTCGCGACTTCTGCTTCCAGGCTCTTCTCCGGCCGCCGTCACGGACAATGAGTCATCGTCCCCGTATAGACTAGAACCCAAAGGCGTCGTACCGGGGCGGCGCATAGGTTTATTTGGTAACAATAAATATATTTAATTACGAGTAAGTACATCACAGTAGCGCAAAATTTCCTTTTATCTTCTGTATATTTATAAAATTCGATTAGAAAGCAAGAACAAATTCTTTTCTGTATTACTTTTATGTAGTACGTAAATTTAGCTATGGTATTGTGGTGTCCGAAATTTGAAATTTGATTCTTGCGCTGAAAAAAAGCAATACGAAATCACATTTGAAAAATTAAAAATAAGGAAAGATAATTTCATATCTTAAGGATCTCTTCGTTACTTCTTATTAATAGTGAGTGAAACACTTGTTAAAATTGACGGTACTCGTAATTTAGTTTGCAAATTCATTATCAGGGCAATTGTTTAAACGAAAATGTGTCTCATTGGACGCCACAGTCCTTCTCAGCAACAGATCTCAGCAAAATCAGTTTATTAATATTTTTTTAATCCGAGATGTGTAAAACTGACTAATACCACTTCATAGCTTCTCACTCGATATTTGTAATGGTTCATTTGTGGAATTAGTGATGTTGCAAAGTGACATTGAGATTGGTGAAAACGTTGTAGTTTTCACCTAAATAGCGACACTGTCACCAAATGTACGATCTAAATCCTAAATGAAACAATCGTTTGAGATTCTTTTGCTAAGGAAACGTGATCACTTTAAAAATTGTGCAAGGAAACGAGTACGTAACCTTACTACCCAGTTCGGTAAAGAAGAGTGTTCGGACGAGAAGACGCGCCACAATTCCTACAGTGTTTGTGATGATTCGAACTAAGAGAGAGTTGAAGTTAATTTTTACAATTTTAATCTTGAAATAAGTAATCTTTCTTTGTATACAATAAGGCACGAAAATTTTGAATAAAAAAAAACAACATTTTTTATGAATTCTTTATTTTAAGCAGTGTAGGCACAGAATTTTGAAAAATACATTTAATGTGCAAGAATCCTGCGTTAAAAAAATTACACTAAGGAGTTTATTTTTTACCTTATTCAAAATAACTAAGCATTCAAACAGAAATTGGTCTTATTTTATAATTGTCAAATATGTCCTTTCGAATTTCTATAATATGAAATTTATATATCAAGTACAACACTATTTTCACGTAAGTGTAAAAATATTACAAATATTTTGTAATGTAAATTTTCGTTATATTGAATAGGGCATAAATAAATAATGACTTTGGTTAAGCATACTAACTAGCATTATTTCGTTCACAGTTTTTTGACAGAATTTAAATAAGTGTAAAAACTGAACACAGTTTTACATATCTAAGACATAGGAACAGTCATGTTAAAGAAAACATCTTACATCAAAATCTTACGGAAACATAAGTGTTGAGGTTCATATTTATCAGTCCATAGCCACTGAACACCATAGGTCTTTGAGCTCTACTGGTAACAAGTGGTAAACATTTTTTTAAAGAAATGGTATTTATGTCATACCATCCAGAGTCATATAAAACACGATCAAGTCTGAGAGCCTAAAAAATAAGCAGAACTTGTATTCTGGTACACCAAAAAAGAGCTATAATAAAATAAAAGCTCCAAGGGGATTTTTGACACTAACTAAGAACATATTACACAATCGGGTAACTAGGCTATTAAACAGATTTAATTTCTACATTTATAAAATTTTTGGTATTAGGAAAAATGACTAACTTTGCGTTACTTGGTGCCACAAATTGATTTTTTGTTTAGGTATATGTGTTTTAAACTTTAAAAATAAAATAGTTTACACTTACGGTGTTTGTGACAATTTCCGCCGGAACACAGTAAAAACCTATTTCAATTATAACACTACAAAAGTATGTTCCACATTTGATTCTGTTGGTCCAGATACCCCTATAAAATTAACTAGTTAAATTGTAATTAGAGTAATTGTTAAAAAAACCTACGGTTGCATTAAAATGAAAACAGCTACAGAGGCAGAAGATATAGAAATTATAAAAAGAAGTAGAAACATATTCCCAAAGGCCGTATTTAACTTTCCAAAATAACTGAAAAGAAATGTGTATTTCTGAAAAATATTACCAACTTTAACAATTACCTCAAAGTTGCCCCAGAAAGTTTTGAATGAATCTAAAAAAAATTTTATGACCTGCATGTCATTTCGACTAATTTGAAGTTTGTAATATTTTAAAATATTTGTTTCGAAAGTGAGCAAAATTTAATGGAACAACTTTGCAAAAAATTTTAATGTGATTTTCTGTGTAATCTTTGCTAACCTTATCAAAAAGTTGTGGTGTTCAACCAAAACTTCTAATTCTTTCCAAATATCATCGGACCTGTTGTTGCACATGCTTTTAAAATTATGTGCCAATAGATGAAACTGTTCAGCTAAGGATACTGCAAGCGTGCAAAAAAGAGTCGCCGTTCCTGTCACAGAAATAGAAGTAATCATAGATAAATACCACAACATGACAGTTAAGTAACCAAACCAACCGTCTGGCACATAGCAAACCGAAGGTAAAGATCCTGTCACAAAAGGTTGCAAATCAAACAAAACTGCCGTAAGTACGCTGATAATAACGGCGTAGCGAACAAACTTCCTCATGAAATTATTTGTTTTTAAGCTTTCGTTACTTAATAATTTATTATCAAAATCTGTAACTTTCCAAAACTTCGATTTTTGTTTAAGCAGGTAAAGCAAATCTTGTTTGGTAGCTTGCAAATTTAACACATTGCCAGTTATCTTAAATTTAGTGTTTGGTTACAACCTATTTTAGTATGTATGTATTGTATGTCATACTTACATGAGCCATTAAAACACAAGTTTGTATATTTTCTGAAATAAAAAATACGTCGCTTTTGTCGGAAAGTAATATTCCTTTTATTGCTAACGTTGTGCACAAAAAGCATAACCCGAGGGTTATGAAAGTGTAAGCAAAGGACAATTTAGAGTTAAAAAAGTGTCGGAGGAAAAAATGCCAGAGTAATTTCGCGGGAACTGTGGATATATCATCAGTTTTAAAAAGACTGAAAAGGAAGAGAATTGTTCATTTTTTTAAATTGTACCCTAATATTAAGGTCTCACGGTTGAAGATTAGGATCCATTTAGGTACCTACGTCTCTGTATTTTCAACAAAACGGAAGCATCTTGGAACGAAAATTTGGCTAAAACTTTTATGTCACTAATGTCTTAATATGAACTTTTCTTAGTTCTTACAGTTGGCAGGTCCTAGATAAGATTATACCATTTGAGATTAAACCATATTCTTAGTCAATTTGGTGTAGTGAAAGTGAATTATCAGAAATAAGCTTTTTCTTAATAATGTGTGATATTCTAGTTATTGGTTAGTTAGCTTGATATGTCATTGTAAAAATATTTATTTATTTAGTTAATTTGCGACAAGAAAGAATACGTACTGTCTCAACACTTACGAACACTGGAGTCGCACTTATTATTTAACTGACTCGAAATTTATTTAAATTCTCGCTTTTATACTTCAAGTAATACAAACATAAACAACGAATCAAAAGCTCACAAGTCTGGAAACATGCGCGACTAATCCAAGTTTTATAAATTATTAGGTATATTTACAGTGCGCTCATAAAATTTAAAACAATGGTGAAGTAAGTAGGTAACACATTTTTAAATTGTAAATACCTGATAATCAACAATATTTTTAAATATTAAAAACAAAGAATGCCACATATAAAACCACATGTAACGAGTGTGCATCCACTACTGACTGAGTTTAGCAAACACATTTTTGTAATAATAGTTCGTATGCTTTCATCTTTTACAATATTCATAAGAGCTTGGTAACGGTACCTTAGGAATTAGTTACCATAAATATTTTATTAGATGCAACATTACCTGATATTTTTCTCGATGTACATAACATCTAAAAAGGGAACTTAGGCATTATGTAATTATTGTAAGATGTAATTTATTTGTAATGTTTGGGTTAATATGCCAGAGCAGCGACGAATGAACATCGATAATAATCAATAAAAAAGGAGAAAACACAAAAGTGTCTTTTCGTCCGATGAACTCGTTTAATAATAATAATAATAACTGACAAGGACCTATGTAATAGGTACTTCTCTCTCGTGAAAATCCGGTTCATTAATAAAAGGACTCACACAGTTAAAATTAAATTGAAAAATTATTTTCTTGGTGCGTAAAAAATTATAAATAAATTTTTGTTGACGAATACTCTCTAAAATACACCAAGAATTGACTGTGTTTCAGAAGAAGCGGAAATATTATCTGAATTACTGTAGAATGTAACGTAAATACGCTTAGTACTGCCGCGCTCTGCCAGTACTCTTTAGAGGACACTGCCCGTACCAAGCGAAGCCATTCGAATGTCCACCCTAACGTCCTCGTTGGCTATTTGGCCCAGGTTAAAAGCGACGACCGCTATAAAAATGAAAACATTTTTATAGCGGTCGTCGCTTCGTAAAAACGGCCACTAATGCGATTGCGCCTAGTGATGCAATTCCTTCCTCGAAGAGCGAATTGCGCGGAGAACCGCAATTCTTCTCAAGTCGTGATCAGAGAACTGCAGCGAGCGATGTCAAATTTTATTAAAAAAATCGGCATATATCCACTTGGTGCGATTCAGAAAAATATAGTACAACAAATAAAGGCAAGGATAGTGACGAAAGCTAATTTTTGACTGTTCTCTCTCTATTAATTAAAAAACAGAAAATATGAAAAAAAATATGTTTACTAAGTTTGGTGGATAAATGAAGTCAATTTATTAGAAAAATCTTTTTCTTAATTAGTTTTAAAATTAAAAAAAGGATTACTTACCTTTTTGATATTTTTAGTTTCTGCATTTTTTTTAAATCTTTGCTCACTCGGTGCAAGATAACTCTACAAAGTTTTTTACCTCACAACATCGAAAACACAAACATTGTCGACGCGTTTAGCCAACCACGTTGATATTATCTAGACAACACAGCTTCAGCCGGCTGTTTTTTCAAATTTTGTGAAAAAAGATACATGCGGTTTATGAACCCCTGTTAAGTTTTTATTCTAGACATCCAGATCTTTGGAGAAAAAGTCAAATCATCTTCCAATTTAATTTTGAAACTGCAAAGCCGAATGCTCTAAAATTTTTGAAAATTTTAGGGTTACCGTAACTGTGGTAAATCGTTAATGAAAACAATAATGACATCATTTTAGAATTTTGCCGAATAAATTACCAAATATAAATTTTGGTGATTCCAAAATCATTGTTTGTTATTTCAGATCCACTTCTCATCGGAATAACTCGGGTTTAAGGATTGGATTATGGGACGTTTTAGATGAAATTTCTAAATTGAAATCAGTTGAAAGTAAAATGGTCCGTTTCACCCCACTTTTTTTCAAAAACGTCAATTTTTGTCGTGAAGTTTTTTTTTATGCTTTTTTTAACATTTCATCCCATTTTTAAGGTTATTTTTTAAAAAGTTGTGGGTTGCTAAGATTCTGACCATGATTCGAGCGGATCCATTAGAAGCCGCTGACTGAGATTTTTAGAAAAAAATAAAAAAAATACCTGTTCAACGTCAAAATTGCCGTTTTCTTAAAAAAAAAAAATGATAAATCACCTTATAATAAATTAAAAAACAAATATGGGGTGCATGTACCATTTTACCTACTACTAATTTGCCCCTTTTTTGGTATAATATATATATTTAATTTTATAGGATAGACATGGAGATTTTTGGGAAAAAAATCAAAATTGTATTTTACAATTTAACTTTAAAATGGTAAAAGCGTGCTGAAGTACTGAAATCTTCCAAACATTTTAAGTTATAGGAAAGACGATAAATTGTTAATCTGAATGTGTGATTTATGAATCCGTGTCGACTTTTTATAATTAGCATCCAGTTTTTTGGAAAAAAATCAACAATTGTATAACAATATTTTGTAATTTAATTTTGAAATTACAAACACCGAATGCTGTGAACCCATGAAGATATTTTAAGATTGTTTTGTGTCCTTTCCTCTGCGTTGAGGACACAAAATCAACCAAATTCCATTTTCTTTTAACCGCTGATGCTTGTAATCTGAACGTGTTAAAAGTCGAATTCGGTCGAAGTATAAACATAAACAGTGGAAGTTAAGCATATACTGGGAAATTGAGAATCTCTCTATTTTTTTCCCAGTAGTTACCTTCTTTAAATATATTCCACAAAGGTGCAGGAGTTGCGGGGATGTTAATTACACCATTTTATAGCGGTTATCACAAAACATAATCTAATTTTATAACTTTTTAAAGAAGCGGAATTCTCAAACAACATAATTTTTTCAAAACGTCAATGTCGCCAGCAAAACTGAAAATAATAATAGTAATAATACCCAGACCACATCAGTATACAATACGCCAATACTTTATAAATTTTCCGGTGGACCCCCATGTCCTCAATACGACACTGGCTGTAGCTTCAGTTTGTTTAAAAAAACAAGGCGTTCATAAAGTTCTTATTTAATTCAAAATACAAAAATATAAAATAAAAGCACAACATCTTTTAATTATTATCTATGATATAATTGATATATTCCTGAAAAGAGGTGTGTTATATTATGTGCACATTTCTGTCAAAATTACCTCAATTTACAAGAAGTTTAACTAAACTAGACGCACTTAACACGTTTAAAAATTTTAAATCAGCTGTATTATCCATAAGAAGTATGATTATCCCACTTACGGTTGCTGAAATGAGTTTAAGTATGTGTAAAAACTGAAAACAGTTTTACAAATCTAGAAAAAGGCATTAAATAACTTGAAACATTTTGATAAAGCCTTACTAAAACATAAGTATTAAGATTCATGTTAACCAGTCCATGACCAGTGAACACCATAGGTTTTTGAGCTCTACTCGTAATAAGTGTTACACATTTCTTGAAGGGGATCTTTTCTATTTCGTACCATTTTGAATCATAAAGCATATTATCTATTTTAAGGGCCTGAAAAAAAAATTGAAATAGTACAGCAGTCGTTTTATGCCTGAAAATATATAGTTTTCTTCCACCAATTATTGTCCATGAAAGTAACAATTTTTTTTAATGCAAATTCAGCCCAACACTCGGTATATACACCAAATGAAAATTTGGATTAAGTCAAAAGTAAGAACACAACCCGAGTTTACATAGGTACACTTACAGTGCTGGTGACGATTTCCAGTGGGACACAATAAAAACCTATTTCAATAATGGCAACAAGAAAATGGACCATGCATTTGGCTCTATTAGCCAAGGCTCCCTTGTGAAATTGCTTATATAAATTTAAAAGTGAAGAAGTTAAAAGCGTAAACTTACGGTTGCATAAAAATGAAAATAGATACCGATGCAGACACTATTGTAATCAGAAAAAGAAGTAAAAATATACTTCTAAATGCCACATTAAGTTCTTCGCAATAACTGAAAAAAAAAACGTGGTATGGTATAAACTTTACATGACTTGGAATGTTTTGCACACCTTAATAAAAAGTTGTTATGATCGACCAAAGCCTTTAGCTGTTTCCAAATGTTATCACGACTATTGTTACACATATCCCTAAATCCTTCTGCCAACAGTTGAAACTGTACAATTAGAGAAGTTACAAGAGAACAAAAAAGGCAAGCTGTTCTTATCATGGAAGTAAAAGCAATAATTGATATGTACCACAGGGGAAACAATAAATAATAGAACCATCCTTCTGGTACATAGAATACTACAGACAATACACCCACGGCAAAAGGCTGCAAATCAAATAATACTAACGAAAGGAACGAAAGTAAATAGTAACAGCGTATGATTTTCTTGACGAAGTGAAATCTTTTCAAACTTTGTAGACGCAACGGTTTTTTATCGTTTGTTCCTCTTTTCCAAAACCTCGATTTTTGTTCAAGCAGATTAAGTAAGTTCTATCTTCGAATGTGTATATTTAACGAACTACCCATTATCTAAAATTTGATGTCTTTTTAAATGAATGTTTATATTCTAGGTTGCATCTACATACATGCGTACATAGAATACAAGTTTGTAAATATTCCGACGTCAAAAATATGTCTTGGTTGTAGGAAAGCAATATCCCTTTAATTGCTAACGCAATGTACAGAGAATTCAACGAAACATTTACGAATGCATAAATATTAGCCCATTTGGAGTTAAAAGCTGGATGCAGGCAAACGTACCACAAAACTCTGACTGAGTCTGAAGATATGTCGTTAATTTCGAAATATCTGAAAAATGACAGGTTTGAATTTGCGTAAAAAAATTTAAATATCGATAGCTTACGATCAGAATGCATCTAGAGTAGATTTTGTTCTCGTTGGACAACAAACACTAGATATCTCACTTCTTACTTAGCTAACACTGCAATATTCTTTCAAGTTTTCGCGTTTGTGCTTTTAGAGACAACCACCATCCAACAATCAAACATGCGCTGTTAAATTAAATAGTTTTTTTTATTGTAGTCAATAAAATATAAACTGAAAATTAGCGATAATGGAAGTAAAATATTACTTCTACATTTTAAAGACGCGGAAATGTTTTGAAACAAAGAGAACTACACTGTAGAATACATTCTAAAGGTAATGAATTATTAATTTCATTCAACGAGACATTTTCATATTAATAATAATTGGTTTGCGTTTTATATTATTCATGAGAACTTGGAACCTGGAGTAATAGTTTTGAAAATTGCTTTAATTTCATCATTATTTAAATGAATACTTTGTCAGATGCTTGATATATTTCTTTGAAGGAGACATCGAGGACAAACACAGGGGGAGGGCCATATTGTTTACAGGAATAATTGGATACCAGATGGATATATAGATCACTTGTTCCTTTCCCGAATGCTATGTAAGAGTTTAAACTCAAGAAAACATCAATGTTACACTTTTCAGTTCCCTGGTAGTGCAGTCCTAGATCATTTTTATTTTATTTGTATGTTGTAGGTGGTAACACTGTGTGTAAAGCAACTTCTAAAAGACTTATAACCACATCTCAGTAAAGTTAATAGATATAACACATAATAAGAACATAAATATTGAATGTTATTTATTACTCTTTTAGGTGTCTTAATTAACTAGTTATTACAGTAGTGATTTTATGAAGCATTTAAACACTGACTTCTTACAGGACGAGTATTAACATATTTCCCAACTTGTTATATGTATTCCATAATCACAGTACCCTCCGTCCTACTGTTGCAATGTTTGCCACTGTGATAAATTGATAGGTTATTGTTTTGTTGAAAATTCTTTGAATGTATTTAAATATGTATAGAAACTGAAAACAGTTTTACAAATCTAAAAACATGCATATATATAAAAAAGTAATTAACCTTTTGATAAAACATTACCAAAACATAAGTATTAAGATTTATATTAACCAATCCATGGGCACTAAATACCATAGGTTTTTGTGCTCTACAGGTAATAAGTGTTAAACATTTCTTGAACGAATTCGTTTCTATTTCGTACCATTTTGAATCATAGACAATTTCATCTATTTTAAGCACCTGAAAAAAACCAAAACTGTCGTTCTGTGCCCGCAAGAATACATGTAAAACCGCAAAGAAATTTAGAAATTAGATACAGTGGGTTCCAACATTTATGACCAGCGAGAAAGTAACTTAAAATATCTTAACTACAGAAGTATAGCAAAATACATTTTTTCAATGAGTTGCCCCAACAGCCTCAGAGAGTCGGTGTTTGGGCTACGATTAGTCAACGCAAGAATTATTGTCCGGTTTTTTTTTATAGTAAAGAGTTTTTTAGTGTTTTAACAATAAGATAAATGATGTTTTCAAAGAAGATACCGAAACGAAATTTTAACTCCTTTTTTAAATCAACTGGCTGATGATGAGTTAGGTTGTGGTTACTTTTAGCACGATGGTGCTACTGCTCACACAAGCTGGAGCCATAATAGATTTTTGGCTGAATTTTATGACAAAAGGATTACTCTAGTTATAATACACCAAACCACTGGGCCGCGTAGATCATGTAATCTCACTACTTGTGAGATTCAATTCAATGCGTCCATTTTATTTTTTATTTCAAAAGTAATTTTTCAACACAAAGCACTCCGTATGTTGGTGAATAGGTGTCGGTTAGCAGATAATTTGTGGATATAATGATAATGCAATTATTTACTACCACCGGAAAAGTCCGGCCCTGGTGAATGACACAGTGTGAATCGAAATCTAACTCAAAATTTGGGAGATATCGAGCGATTATAGCGAAATGCACAGAAAGGGAGGAATTGGAAAAGTGAAACAATCTGCGGAACATTCATGCGGTGAGTACAACAGTTAGAAGCGAGAAGAACAAATTAAAAGAACCTAATCTCCGAAGAGATAGTCTGGGTGAAGTTCTTATCGCGGCGCAACGAAACAGGTCCGTACTGGCAATACAAGAGTCGAAGATACCAAAGAAAATTTAAAAGAGCTAGAGTTACTAAAGCAGAAAACAGAATCCTCACTCTCACCGTCATCGTCACCACAAAGGAAAAAGATACACAGAGACCCCAAGGGACAACAACAGCTGACGAAATGGATGAAATAAAGAAGATGTTCGAAAAAATAGTGGTAGACATAGCGGAAATAAAAGAAAATCCAAAAACATATCAGCAGGAGATACAAATATTAACCAAAGAAAACCAAGAACTGAAAGAAAGATTGCGGAGAGTAGAAAAATACGTAAAGAAGGTAGAAAAAATCGAAAGAAAGGACAACATTGTAATTAAAGGGGAGAAAATACAAGGAAACGAAACATCAACAGAGCAATATGTAGAGCAACTTATAAAAGAAAAGATAGGAGTCAGGCAAAGATACAAGCAGCTAGAGTAGTTAACTAGAAAAACAACATAATAGAAGCTAAAGTTGAAAGGTGGGATAGGAAAGGAACCATTATGAAGCAAAAAAACAAACTAAAAGAAACAGAGATATTCATAGATGACGGTTATATGAAAAGAGAAAGCGAGATATAAAAGAAGGGTGATAGCGGCCGAAGAAAAAGCGAAGGGGAGGGAGACTAAAGTCGGATACAAAAAGCTGATACTCTGAGGGGAAGTTTGGGAATGGGGCGACAATCTCGACGAACTTGTAAAGAAATCTCTCCGACCCAAAAAAAACTCAAAAAACGATTAGCCCATAAAGTAACAAATAAACACCAGAAAATGATGACGACTCACGTAAAGCATACGGAAAACGAATTGAGTAATAAGGAAAGAAGAGCCAAAAACTTAAGATTGCATCATGGACTGTCCAAAAGGGGCTCTACGACAGCTTACATTAGAACTACAAAGGTACGACATAACAAGTCGTAAGAAAGAACCTAAAAAGAGCAGTAGTCACGTTCAAACCAATCTCCCAAAAATTGTGCTACCTGAGACTGCGAAGCAGGTGTAGAAAAATCAGTCTGATAAATTTACACGCACCGACGGAAGAAAAAGACCTAGAAACAAAAACAGAATACTATGAATAATTAGAGAAAGAATACTAGAAACTACCAAAATATGACATCAAAATTGTTATAGGAGTCGCGAACGCCAAAATAAGTAAAGGGATGGGATATCGGCATATAATCGGGAAAGGCAGTAAACACCAAGAAACAAACGAAAATGGAGAAAAGCTAAGAGAATTCGCACAGGAAAACAGCATGATAGTAAAAAGCACAGTTTTTGCAAGCAAAAAAATACATACTTGGATATCTCCAGATGACAAGAAGATCAACCAAATAGATCATGTATTAATAGACAAAAGAAATGCACAACTAGTCACCAACATAAGAAGTTATAGAGGTGCTGAATCAAGTACAGACCTCATTTTAGTAATATCACATATTGAAGAAGAAATACCAAAAAAGGAAAAAATTGACAGGGCACAACGAGACACAGATTTAAGAAAATTCAAAGAAGGGGGCATACAACAATTGTACGATCAAAAACTGACAGACAACATAAAGAAAAACAGAAAGACAGACTCACTAGAAGAAAAATGGGAAATGCTACAAAACAATATATGGACTACCACAAAAGACGTAATAGGATTCAAGACAAGCCATACGAACAAAGCGGAATGGTTTGATGACGAATGTAGAACAGCATTAGAAACTGGAAGAAAAGCAAGAGAGACGTACATGAGAACAAGAAAAGAAAAACATCAAAAGCAGTACCAACAAGACAACATAAAAAAAAACGTACGAATATGGAAGCACAGATGCGACAGATTGAAGAAACCTTCTGTAAGTAAGGAATTTTTACCAAAATGTCAAACGAGAGAAGAAAGGTCATCAACAAAAAGTAATCTATTGCAAAAATAAAGAAGGGAATTTCATAGGAGACGACCAAGCAAGTGTAAAACGATGGGCGGAATACCTCGAAGAACTATTAAACGAACAGAGCACAGATCAAGACATAAGCGAATTCAGTAACGATAGGTTAGAAGATCAGAATGAAATAAGCGAGCCAGACGTACAAGAAATCCGAGAAATACTAAAACAAATGAAGAACAACAAAGCTCCAGGCAACAATGAAATAAGACCCGAGATGTTGAAGTATGGAGGAGAAGAATTAGTACAAGAAATACATGAAGAAGCGGTACTGTGCCCGATATTAAAGAAAGGTGACAACACAAAATGCGAAAATTACCGCGCAATAGCGCTACTAGATGTAACCTACAAGATACTAACTACATGCATAAACAGAAGGCTCAAACAGCACATGCAAGGAGCTGTAGGAGAATACCAGGCAGGATATAGAAAGCACAGGTCAACTGTAGATCAAATTTTCATGCTAAAAGAACTGTTTATAGACTTCAAAAAAGCCTATGATACAATCAATAGGAAAGAACTAGTGACAGCCATACAAGAGCTAGAAATACCAAATAAAATGATTAGATTACTGGAATAACGATAGAAAACACAAGAAACCTTGTAAGAAGTCATGGAATACTTACTATCCTAGCTTCCAAGTAACCACCGGTTTACGACAAGGAGATCCCATGTGAACCACTCTTTTCAATCTAGAACTGGAAGTAAGTAAATTAGAAGAAGCGGAATCCACAGATCAGGCACCATATTGTCACGACTGAGGTGTTCTAAGGGGTTGGTAGAGCGGGGTAAAAAAGCCCAGTTCGTGAATTTACGTTATTTTCTATTAATGATTCCAATACAATAAAACTACTTACTGTTTGGCTGGGAGAAACATGTCACAGGCTCTTTTTCTTTTTCTTGCCATAACCCAACTGCCGTCCACCCACTCTCGTCAACCCCACGAAGCCCTTGCAGTGTCAGCAACTATCCCTACTGTCGGTATGTGTTGACACTCCATGGCCTCGAAGGAATCATATCGCGAGCAGGGTGTTTAGCAATCCCATCGTAACTAGGTTACATATTTATATGACTGTGACAATATATGATAAAAGACACCAGAATCTAGCATTTGCAGGTGAGTTAACGTTCGTAACGAGAACAGTAAGCGAATTAAAGAAAATTACAGTTAACCTTATCAGAGAAGACAAAACTAATAAAAATGACGAACCACAAAGACTTACAAAAAACATTGAAGATAACCGTGGAAGATGGAACTACATACGAGTTTGAAGAAGTAAAAAAGTTTAAATACTTAGGAGTAGTAATCACCAATAAGACCGAAATGAAAGAAGAGATACAATAATGCATTATGAAAGGCAGTATGAACTTAGGAAGACGAAACAGTTCCTCACAAGCAAAAATGTAAGACGACAGACGAAGAAACAAGTATATAAAACGGTGATAAGACCTACAGTACTATATGGCTGCGAAATTGGATTGTAACTAAAGAATGGGTACAGAGATTAGAGATTGGGGAACGAAAAATACTACGGAAGATATATGGAGATATCAAGGAACAAGAACAATGAAGAAGAAGAACAAATAAGGAAGTAGAAGAAGTATATGGAGAACCGAAAATTATCAAGATAATTAGAGTGCAAAGAATCAGATGGTTAGGGCATATAGGAAGAGCATCTAAAGCGTTGAACCGTTTACAAGGTGTTAAGAAAATGCAAGGGCGACTAAAACTGAGATGGCTGGATGACGTGGAAAGGGATCTAAGGGAAATGGTTATCGAATATTGGAAAAGCAAAGCAGCCGACCGCACTCAATGGAGAGCCATCGTCAGAAAATCCCAGGACCTTCAATGTCTGCAGTGCTAACATATATAATAATTATTTACTAATGTTGTTTCAATAATCAGCGTTAAGCATATTTTTTAATTGCAATATATACCTATATTTTTTAACATATGGGTGTGATCACTAAATATTTGTGCAAACTTAATTGTTAAAATCTAGTAGGTACCTTGGACTTGGTAGTTGTTGTTGGATTTTGCAGTATTGATTTCTGACATTCGGATGGAATCGTTAAAAGAAAAATTTAAGAGAACTACACTATTATTTCTTTTTACTTACTGAAACAACAAAAAACAAAGTTGCGACTTCTATGGAAATGTGTCTTTAAACCACACAATTAAATAATTTTTCTATTGTAATTGACGATGTGCGTATTTTCCTGTAGATGGAAGTAATTGTACTGGTAATAAAAATTATTATTGTAAAAAAAAAACTTTCGAGAGGAAGTAACAATCCTTATCAAAAGTCACAGAAAATTTTCAAAGAAGGTTTTAAATTCAAACTGCCCGAAATCCCCAAATCACTGTTTACCAGCTGGAAGCCCTTTACAAAAACAAAAATAAGAAACAGTTGGCGCGGATTATGTTTCAGAAAGATAGTTACATTGAAGCTTGAAAATAAAAACTTAAAATTTGTGCAGATTTAGTGATCGCACCCATATTTTGTAACTTCGAAGTATGTGAAAGTAAAAACAAAATAGATTTACATAAAAAGGAATGTACTCACAGTACCCGTCACAATTTCCAGTGGAACACAATAAAACCCCATTTCAATAAGAGCAACAAAAAAATGGACCATACACGCCACTCTATTAAACCAAGACCCTCTGTAAACTGGTTACTTAAATCTAGCAATAAAACATTAAAAAGTGCAGACTTACGGTTGCAAAAAAATGAAAATCGACACGGAAGCAGTAACTATCGAAAGAAAAAAAAGCAGCAAAAACATGCTTCTAAATGCCGCGTTCAAATCTTCGCAATAGCTGAAAAAAAAGTTGTGCGTCAAGTTTTCAAAACATCGTAAACCCAATAACACAAACCTGAATAAAAAGTTGCTATGGTCTACCAAAACTTGCAACTTTTTCCAAATATTGTCACGACTGCCGGTGAAAATGTTTTTAAATCTGTATGCCAACAACTGATACTGTTCAATTAAAGAGGTTACAAGCGAATAGAAAAGGCATGCGGTTCCTGTCATATAAACGACAATAATAACTGACAAGTACCACATGATGAATAACAAGTAATAGAACCATCCTTCTGGTACGTAGCATTTTGCTGGTAAAATTCCTGCAATGAAAGGCTGCGAATCGAATAACAACAGAGAAACGGAAGAAAATAAAAAGTAAGAACGAGTGATTTTCTTTACGAAGTTAAATCTTTTAAAGCTTTGTTTGTGCAAGGAGATTTTATCAGTTTTTCCAACTTTCCAAAATCTAGATTTTTGTTCTAGAAGTTTAAGTATATTTTGCCTTTGTGTATGTAGACTTAACACACTGCCTGCTATCTAAAATTAATATTTTTTTCTACTCGTATGTGTTCACAGTACTTACATGTATACAGAAAAAACAAGTTTGTAGACACCCCGACGCAAAAAATATGTCCTTGTCGTAGGAGAGTAATATTCCTTTTATCGCTAACGCAGTGAGGAACACATTCAGCAAAACGATTACCGAAAGATAAGGAACGACCCACTTGGACCTATAAGCTGGTTGTAGGATAAAGTACCACAAGATTTTCACTGAATCTGTAGATATATCATCAATTTTGAAAAAGCTGAAAAGGAGAAATATTGAATTTATGTAAAGATATCTGAATTTCAACAACTCACAATTTCACATCGGGATCCATTTAATTTATTCAAGTTTTTTAGTTCAGTAATTTATTTTAATATAACTTCCTATGTTTAGCTAGGTCAGCAATATCGGAATTCTTACACTTACACGGAGCTTAATTTGTTTTAATATTTAATTTAACACTGCACAAATCAAATGAATTTTTTACAACACAAAAACAAAAAACCTGATACTTAAAGTAAATTTTTTTAATAGTGAGCATATACTAAGAAACGTGTCTTCAAATTCGAAAAAAAGCTTGTATCTTTAATTATTTTAATGAATTTTAGAGTACAATTCTATTCATCTAAGCACTATATATGAATACTAGTATCTCACTGACTGCACTAACACTGCTCTTTCGAGTTTTCGCATTTATGCTTTAAAAACGTAAATGTGAAAACCAATCAAAAGCCAGATACTTTCCAAAGCATGCGTGGTTAAATTAGCTTGTAGACTAGCTGTTTTCTTTTATTTAGTAAATAAAATATTAATTTTAAAATTACCAAGAAATGCATTATAATATTGAGTTTTAAATAAGGGGAAATATTTACACAAAAAAATCTACACTGCAGAACACGCTACAAAGTTAATAAATTATTAACATCATTCGACAAAGTTATTAAAATGTTTTCATATTTTTTTGCAATTTAAATTATTCATAAGAAATGGGAATCCGAAGTGGTAGTTTTGAAAATTGCCGTATTTTTGTAATTATTGAAATGAATAGTTTATTAGAAGCAATATTACTGGTGTTATTTACTTATTTTAGAAATCTAAAAAGTCCACGTGGAGAAGTGTTTACCGTAATAATAATTGTTGATGCGGGGCTGCATACATTTTTGAAGAAACGAAATATTCCAGATGAGTATACAAATCAGTGAAGAATTAAATTAAAAAAAAATACTTTTCCTGATGATTATTTATTGAAAATTCCTGCAGTATTATCAAGTGCAAAATCTGCGAAACCCTTCAACGTGTGGTTATATTTTATATATTTGTCACAATATCCATCCGACGTTCTTAGATGATGGAGTATCAACAGATTTAGCAGTTTATTACATTTTTTATTGGCGTACTATGTACTAATACTTCATCGTTTTGCATGATTACTAATTAATTACGTTTAATTAAGATAATTTGTTTATCAACACAATTATTATTTTGTTACAAACTGTGATCGTCGTTATATAATTTTGTTCGCCATTATTTCGCTAAAAATTATTTCAAAGTGTTTAAGTAGGTGTAGAAGCTGAAAATAGTTTTACAAAACTAAAAACATGCAGACATTAAAAAAAAAACTACTTTTTAACAGACCCTTAATAGAATATAAGTATTAAGGTTCGAATTAATCTATCCCTGGCCACTAAAAACCAAAGGTTTTTGAGTTTTACTCATAATAAGTGTTAAACATGTCTTGAATGAATTCGTTTCTATTTCGTACCATTTTGAATCATAGAAAATATTTACAAAAGGTGGAAATTTGTTTTGCAAAAATGTATTAAGTAAAATCAAAAAAGGAGTTTCAAGGTACGCATACAAAGTGTACTATTCTCAATTATTGTACCTCTAGTTGAGATATCAATAAGAAGTGAAAACTCCTTATCTGGTTTATTTACATTTACATTATCAGTAGCTTTTTTTTTAAACAGACACAACAAAAAAAAATGGTACTGAAAAACGACAAATCTACACCAAAGCGAGCTGTTCAAAGTACTCAACAAAAGTACTTGAAGTACCAAGTACAAAGTACTTCTTGAAATAGTGTTCAAGTAAAATACCAAGTACTTACTTTTACTGAAAGTGCTTCAAGTCTCAAGTACTTTCTTCATGTACTTGAAGTATAACCCAAGTACATTACTACAAGTAGGTACTTGAATATACTTGAAATACTGAAAATACTTC